TTAAGAATTTTATAACTAACAAATTAAACTAGACTGACTTTAAGCACTAAATGCATGGTGTAACTAAGGTGGATGAGACGGTGCATGGATGACGTGTGATGTTGCTAAGAACCAGCATGTCCGAAGAAGCGTTTAGTTCTGATGGGAACTGAAGGTGATGTCTTCACGTTAAGCTTTGATTAGGAGATTCATAAAAACATTCAACGCCATTTTTGTCGGTCTACATACCCTGAGCGGAAGTCCCCGTCTAGATCAGGAGGTGTAAAGGTCCAGCTTGACCTTATGGAGCAGGAGCCGGTAGAAACAGCCACGGCAGCTCACCACCCGTCTTGAGATACTTCCGGGTCACGACAATTTTATTGGCGTCTGGTGAGACCCGAGCCTGGGTCTTGATGGTTTAGCTTTTATTCTGAAAGGAACTGTTGCGGCAGTGGGAACAGCAACAAATTTTCCAGCTTGTCGTTGGTTCTTTCGGTTAAAGAGGAGAGTTAAAGATTGGCCACTCCGACAAATTCTCTGGAATGCTTTGAACTGGCGTTAGAGATGACGTGGGCATTGTTTTATACTATGGATGTTATGGTTTATGGTCAAATGACAAGTTGGCAGGTTTTACCAAACACCATCAAAACCACGCCTCCGTCAGATCTGTCAGATTCTGATTGGATCAGTGAAAGTAATGTGTCATGTCTTTTAATGCTACGTGAGATCAGTCCTAGTGGAACAGTACCTTTATATTCTATAGGATTATAATAAAGTAATTTATTATTTTGATTTCACAGATCGGTCACATCTTATTTATTGACTAACACTTGGTTGGATTAGCTTTATTAAAATAGAGTTCCTTGATTAATTAAAAGAAAAGAGTTCATTCTTCATTCTTCTGTTGAGCTGAAAATAAGCAGGTTAGAAGCGAATGCATGAGACCTTGAGACCATATCTCATGCAGACTAGTTCTGTGCAGAGGAGGGGGAAAAACAGTCATTTCATTCTGCTACACCTTTTTTATGACTTCTGACACCATTTGTTACACATGCATCCCTATCTTCTACAAACCATTTCATTCTGTGTTAGGTAATTTAAAAAAAATCAGGTTTCAGCCAATTTGTAACATAATCTCTGTCAGCAAAATAAAAAACATAGAATATAAGTGCAACCCTTTCACCACCCAGCTCGATAGAATATGGTGCTGGCTATTGAGTCTAGCTACCCTTTAATCTCAAATTACGGTTGTGGCAAAAGAGACATTCCAACGTATAGAAACTGTGTCTAGAAGTTTAACTTTGATTCCAGAGAGGTTTCCCAAGGCACACAACAATATGTGGTAAAGCACTTTTGTTTCCCAGTGTACATCTGAAATTTTCCGAGGTGCGCGTTGCGGAAATTCTGGGCCGTGCGGAGGCGCGGTGGAGGGGCGTGGTTGTTAAAATGACGCAAAATGACGCAACTTTTCCGCGCGGAGCTGTGCGGACCTCGCGGACGCGTCAAGCATAAACCAACCTTCAGTCCTACCAGTCGGAGGTATTCCCTGGTCCCTACAATCGCGGAAAACAATGTCGGGTCCCAACTTCTCTGGCTCTCTTCCCACGACGCAGGTGAGTGGCTGGATCCGTGCGTCACACTCCTCCCGTGTGGCTCTCCACAAGGCAATTCCTCCGACAGCTGCAGCTGAACTTTAGTGCAGCTTAGCTCCTCCGACCTCCACTGGAACCAGTTAAAACTCGCTCCCCCACTGCATACATCGGCCACGACCTCTTCCACGATCCTCTGGTGTGAAGAACAATCGTCCAGGCTGGATATGATTCCGCACCCGGCCTATTATAAGTTCTCCTCGAGCTTTTTAGTCTCCATCCACGGCCATCCAACGACTCTCCTTCGCGTCACTTTTCTCCCTCCTCTCGTTCTTCCCTTCCCCCACTTCTCGCGAGAAAATCATAAATCAGCCAGACTTAAACACCTGGGTTTTAGCTTACAAACAATCATAACATAATCACAGGGATTCACTAGTTTCTTTTTTTAACCTTTCTATAGAATAATGAAATTATCTAATAACAAAATGAGCTGTATCCAATGCTTCAGAGCATATTAATTATGAAAATTCACTGCATATTTATGAATACAAACAAAATATCCTGATTACCAAATAATCATATTATTACATCAGTTTAAAAAGCACCTTTGGTGTCAATAATAGTGGGATGTGAGTGAGTGACATTTCTACATTGTTGCACCTTGCTCTAAAATCTCCAAAGACACTCTGCTTGAGGAAGTCGAAGTTCACACCCGGTCTTCTTCCCACACACACACACACACACACACACACACACACACACACACACACACACACACACAGACACACACACACACACACACACACACACACAAACACACACACACACACACACACACACACACACACACACAGAAACTTTCTCTGTTCCTGCCCTCCCTCTACCTCTCCTTCTGCCCCCTCCTCTCAGCACAAACCTACAAGAGTGAGGGAGGAGAGCACATGCACAGAAAATCCTCCTGCTTGCATGCACGGCCTCACTCGCAGCACAGGCATCGAGAGGAGCAGAGCCACGGTGCTGCAAGTGGTGAAGCAACAAAAGAAAGTCCGAGTTTGCTCTTAAGCAAAAATATATCAGCTCCATGTGGAATCTGCAGTTAAACACTTAATCAAACTATGGAAGCTCAGAAGTGGAGGTAGGAGAAAGCAGAGCTCCTTCTGACGGATTACTGGACTTGTCATGGTCTACATGATCCTCTCTTCTGTGATTTTTATATTGGATTTATCCACGTTTTGAAGTTTTTTTGTGTGAATGACGTGTGTGGAAGCAGGAAACATGTCAAACAGACATACCAGTCACCTGCTGAGGGGAGTCTGGTTGATCTGGCAAGGTGAGTCCAGATTTCTATCATGTTAAGTTGTGCACATTTACAATAAAAGTTGTTTATTCTGTTAGAAAAAAATAAAATGCTTCCTAATTGTGCAAATCAAAAGCCAGTCTCATGTAGAATTATTTACAGCTTGTGTGTCTACAGATGAAAGGTTTTCCAGAATGAAAACAAAAAGATAAATGCCCTGGTGCGGAGTCACCCAGAAATCTGTGGATTTATTTAGCTCAGATTTAATCGAAGCGAGTGGCATAAAGGGAGATGTTGTTGCAGACATATTGAGAATTTACAAGGAAGTCGTTATGTAATTTTTCACATTTTCAAGCTGAAACATTTAGACGAATGGATCACCAGCCTGGACTACAAAAACACGACCCACGCTGTCATTAGATGGGTGAATGGCCCGTCTGTGTTGCCCTTTCGCCCCTGTGTGTGTCTTCAAAGTTCCGTCAGATCCGAGGCCACAGGAGGAGTCTCTGGCTGGTGCTTTTAAACAATAGTTCCCTGGAACCAGCGAAGCGTGGCCCTGGAACTAATGTTGCCATTATGGTAATGGTTGGAATAACAGGAGACGGCCATTAGTGACACGGCCTCAGGCTGATCGCCCGGTCGCCACGGTCTTGATCAGAGAGAGTTAGGTTGATGGGCGGCTGGAGGAGGATGGGAGGAAGTGTCTGCATGGGTCTGATCATCATCAAGATGCTCAGGCCTCCTCTGTTCCCTCATTCCTTCACAGGTTTAGTGTCAGACTGCTTTTCTGAGATCGAGTTTCTTTGTCATGAGTCAAATTAATCTGAGAAGTCTGGTGAGATTGGGCTTAAATGAATTTAATGGGTTACATATACAGACCTGGCACAGTTCAGTTATCATCCTGCAACTTTTGAAACACGATTAAACCTTGTTTGGGTTTGTTGACCTATGATTGGGTTTTACAACATATGTTATCTAATCTGTCTAATATTTGGTCATTTAGTCTTTAATGTGCTGTTAAAATTATTCATCCCAAACGGTATTGTGTTAATTGAACGTTAGATTCAAACTTTTTTTGTTCCGACTTGATCTGGATCTCCTGCTGTACCACAAAACTCAGCGTTTAAATGACGGTAATCCAAAAGTACCTCACCTCCAAAACAGCAGTGGACCATCAACATCTCTAGTTCATATCTCAGTGGCAGGTGTTGTTATACTCAAGATCTACAGTGTTTCTCTACGTTCTAAAGGTTGGTGTTTCAGTTACAGCAGAACGTCTGCTGTAAACGGTGAACTGAGTGGACATGTCAGTCCCAGAGCCAGAGCGCACTAACTAACCACAGTGTCACCGGGAAAAACCCAGCAGATCTCTTTTCTAAATAAACAAGGCATCCGGATTAAGCAGCTTACGCTGAGATGAAAAGGCAACAGTTAATGTCCTTGTGCTGCCCTGAGGACAGGGGGGGGCACCGCTGGTCTGGAGGGCAACAAAAAATGCTGGGGTTAATGCAGCGGTCGGTGCAAGATCAGGGTTAGAACAACACCACGGACCTTAAATCCTCTTGATTTTTATCTAACTGTAGTGACAAGTGGGGTGATGAAGATGAAGAGATAGCAGCTTACGTAGATTCTGTCCCTAGCTGTAAAGGACAGTGGCAGATTAAACATGGGGTAAAACTGTACATGTCTTAAAGGAGACAAATTATGCAAAACTCATCTTTCTGCATCATTTTGTACTGCCAGGTGGGTCTCAACTGCCTCTACAGATACTCAAAATGTAAAAAAAAATCTGTCCATCAAGTTTCTGTCAGAGTTTGCTTTTAAGATGTATGGGCTTAAAACAAGCTGTTTCAAAAAGTTCATGTTTGTGATGTCACAAAAGTTAAATCATCATAAAAATACCACGACAGAGCTACTAGAGAAGCAGCGCCTCTACTCCAAGCCCCTCCCAGATATCCCGTTTCTCAGCTTTTAGCAGCCTGAGCGAGAGATAGGTGGGCGTGGCCAGCTACAGCTTGTTTTCTTAAAGTGACAGAGCCCAGAAACGGCTCATTCTGGATGGTACTGAAACATTCAAGAATAAAACTGTTGAAATTGATTTGTGTGAGAGGGATTTAGTAGAAATAACTTAATGAACATGTTTTCTACAAACCATAGAACTATTATAACTTACAAAAATAAGTTTTAACATGCCCCCTTTAAAATATTCTTATTTTAAATCCTCTCAATCAAAAAAACTTGACATCTAATTGACGATGCATGAGCATTAATTTAATAATAAAAATCATAAATCTGGTGTTTGTGGGGGTCTCTACATTTATATAAAAGTTTTACTAAAACATTAATGATTCATATTCAATGCATTAAACTGGAACTTAATGTTTGTTTTAAAAAAGTATTTTTAACATGGCTGAATACATTATTCATGGGGAAAATATATTTTTACAAGCACAAATACAATGCTGCGTAAATACAGCAAAATCAAATCAGAAAGTGTGTTTTTTTCTTCTAATGTTATTAATGTGAGATTATATTTTAAACCAAGCTATGCAAATTATAAACAAAACTTAACAAAGCTGAGCAAAACTATAAAAAATTAGGAATACTATTATCTCATGCTGGTCTTGATTCAATGTTTTCAATAAAAACATTCCTAAATGAGCAATCTAGTGACTGGAAACCTCAGAAACTGTAATAAAACTTACTGCAGTGTGTTTACTTTTATAAAAGAAACACATTCTTTTTCAATTTTTTCCTCTGATCTTCTTGTTTACATGGATTAGTGAAACATCCCAAAAACTGGAGCAAATTTTGTGTGACTTTTTTATTCAGAAACATATTTGTGCATCAGTTTTTATATTGTGTCCTTTTCATGATTTGCCCTCAGATCAGGCTGGCTGATGAGGTCATTCTGCTGTCCGTGGCATAGTAATTGTCTTATTGAGTCTCCAAATGGGAGATTTCTATCAGTAGTTTGTGTTCTGTTGCATTTGAGTTGATATTTTGTGTTATATTGGATGAGCTTGTTGGTAAAATATGGTCTTTGTGAACATTCATTCAGCCTTCATGAATTATTGACTTGTGACGTCCATTCAAAGTCTGGAGGACAACTCAGGAGTTTAAAGGCCCTAAAGAAATCAGCTGTGAGGAAAAGTAAAGTGAATTCAAATAAATGTGTTGAATACGTGAGAGCTATGAAACACCACACACACACACACACACACACACACACACACACACACACACACACACACACACACACACACACACACACACACACACACACCTCACTAATCTTGTAATTCCAGAGAGAAATCTCACTCTTCCCACATCCACCCCATTATCCTCCTAACTGACAGACACTGAGAGGTGGAAAGAAAAGAAACAAAGGCAAAAGAAAGAGAAGGGAAGGAATCTGACTTCTATCCAGGAGAAATGAGGTGTGAAAATCATCATTTTTTCATCATGGGGGTTGGGGGGATAATCAGGAGGAGGATGCAGACGTCTGACTAACAGCCAGGAGGGGTTTGTGCTGTAGCACTGAGGCAAATGAAGATGAAAACGACATTTAAACAATGCCGGGGGCATAGCAATGAACAAAAGAATGAGGGTGTTTTTAATAAACTGTGAAAATGTCAGAATTCAGCACTTTTAGGAAAGATGCTGTGCATCAAACTCAGGCCTCCCTCTCTTTAATGAACATGGGGACACTGCTGACTTCGTGTTTAGCATTTGGGTCCCTGGAAGACCAGAGCCAAAAGTCCCTGGAACTGGTTCTTGTTTTTGCAGGATGGACCCAAACGCAACGTGCATAAAGCCATGTTTGGACTGTGGCTGTGTGAGCGAGGAGAACTGAGGCCGCCTGACCGTAATCACAAACACAAACAAACAAAAAGAGGCCAACCCGGAGGCTTTTCATAAATGGTTTCCCTTTTACTGCAAATCAATGCACACTGTGTGTGTGTGTGTGTGTGTGTGTGTGTGTGTGTGTGTGTGTGTGTGTGTGTGTGTGTGTGTGTGTGTGTGTGTGTGTGTGTGTGTGTGTGTGTGTGTGTGTGTGTGTGTGTGTGTGTGTGTGTGTGTGGTAGCTCAAGGACGGGTAGATTATTTTGGCCAGCCATCAGTCAGATGACGTTAATGCCAGATTCAGCAGCAGTGTTGGTGATGACAAACTGACCATTCAGACCACACACACACACACACACACACACACACACACACACACACACACACACACACACACACACACACACACACACACAGCAGTAGCAGGCTGCAGTACTGACCCCTGGTGGTAGAGACGCCATCACTCAGATTTGGCTCTTCTGGCAGAATTTCCATTTCAGGATCTTGTGTGTGTTGTTCAGATGTTCTTCACCGTGAGCTAAAGTCAACCTGCTAAACTCAGTGTCAGAAATTTAATAAAGTCAATAAATAAATAAGCAAGCTGTCCGCTTTGATAATATCTACATGTTGATGGTTTTATTTCAAGAGACTCAATTTGAAAAGTCAACACAGAAGTCAACACAAATGGATTTGTTGGTGGGTAAGAATGGGTGCATGTGTACATGCATGTTTGTGTGTGTGTGTGTGTGTGTGTGTGTGTGTGTGTGTGTGTGTGTGTGTGTGCGTGTGTGTGTGTGTGTGTGTGTGTGTGTGTGTTTTCATTATAGTGCTCATTAAGTGGGCAATAAAACATGAAATGCACGAGAAAATGCTGTTTGTCAAGTTAATCTATTGTCTGGTGAGTAAGTATTTCATGCTGAGAAAGCTAAATTAATCTTAAAAATTGCTGACTTTTTGTCCATGCAAATTATTTTTAAAATAAAAAAATATTACTTACAAATCCAGTAGCAACAAAGGCAGGTCACCATCAGTCTGCAATTTTGTAGCCTCCATAGCTCGCTTAAACCAGTGTAGGCCATGCCGATGTTCACTCTGGTTTTTGCTTCTCCTCCAAAGACTCCAAAGACTCAGTTACTTTTACTCCCAAGCTCCTCCAACAAAGACACAAACTTATGTTTCTTCTTCTTGTGCTTCTTATTGACAATCAGTGAACGGAAAACTCTAACTGCTAGCATAACAGCTAACAGCCGTAAAGCAGGTCAAGAGCCCTAAAGAGCACCTACCCGCTCCACAAAACCTTTAAGTGCAGTATCTGACCAGCAGAGGGCTGCAGGGTGGCATCACGTTTCTAACTCAACAATCACTAAGATCAATGTTAAAGCTCTAGCTTAAAGTTTTAAAAAATGATTTATTGAGACTTTAAAATCTGAGTGTGAACAGACTACTGAAATATTAAAGTGAAATGTGAACATGTACACTTTTAATCTATTGAAGAAAATGTGGACATTAAAACGTTATTATGGAAATAAATTCTACTTTTACTACTTGTTAAATATGTGCTGTGTTTTATTTCAGTGGTATGAATTAGACTGCAGTTTCTGTCTAAATGAAATAAATGTTTCACTTCTGTGCGTTATCAAGCTTCATAAGTATTTGCTGTTGAGCTAATTCACTTCAGTCTTTAGAAAATCCATGGAGGGGGGTGCACTCTGCACAAGAGGATGTTTTAAAGCCCTTCATGGAAACATAAATCAATGGGAACCACTGAAGGGTAAAGCAAATGATATTTGACTGCATGTGTAGGAGGTGAATCAAATTAAATAGTCCCTCGTTGTCTTCGGACTGAGAGAGAGGTTGGATATTATCAGACAGAGCGTATGACACCATCACCCAACTCGCGGTTGGAAAAAGGCTCTCTTATGTTTTTAGAAGGATCCTTAAAAACCCCACAATGATCAATTCTGCTTGACTTAGCTCCGCTTTTATGAACACTTAAACGCAACCATATGCTCGACTGTCGAGAGATCGGAGGGAAAGGGAGAGGAAGTGAATGACAAGTGACCTCTAGGAACGCAGTCTAAGAGCGCTTCTGCAAAAAACTGACTCCAATAATAATCTTTTATAACCACAAAAGGCAGCATGCAGCTGATTGGATGATGGATGAATCCCTTCTGATTAATGTTTCTGGGCCCTTTTGACCAGGTAGACTCATAAGTAGCAGAAACCTGCAGTGAAAACAAACACAAGATGAACTGAAACATGCTGTCATGCTCATGCAGTCAAAGTAAGTTTTAATTTCTTGAAGAGGTCTGTGTGTGTGTGTGCGTGTGTGCGTGCGTGTGTGCATGCATGTGTGTGTGTGTCAGGTGGACAGGCACTGAGATATGACTGAGCTGAACACATGTCTGCGGTTGTGGTCAGCATGTGGGGAGAGCATTCCCAGAGTGTGAGGAACAAAAAATATCCTCCATTTGACATAAACGAGGTTAATAAATGCCAATCAGTTTGTTTCCATCTTGGAGTCTGTTTTACCAAAATGTGTTGGTTTTACAGAAACATCTGCTGCACGCTCCTGCTCAGAAGACCCCATTTTCTCCACAGTACATTTGCTCAACTCCACTGATTTGTTGAGGATCAAAAAGTGGCTCAACAGGGGTCGCTTCTTTACCCTGCAAAAAGTAGAAGTTATTAATTACAAGTACATTTTCCACGTAGTTGTAATACATTAAGTCAATGAGAGATCCACTTTTAAGGTAACCTGTTGATATTTGACCTGGGTTTAACTATGTTAATTTAAAGCAGTTGTGATTTTATAAAAGTTAAATCTTACATTAAAAAATCAGTTTGTGATTACAAGAACAAAGAATCTAATTTTCATAATTTTTATTTATTATTTACTTATTCATTTACTGACTTACTTATTTATTTTTGGATGCATACATCACAGACAGCTGGCGTAGCAGCGAGCCACCTTCTTGGATGGGTCCCCAGTGCATTTACATTTACTGAGAAAGATGTTTACTGTACAAGAAAAATAATAATAATTCATTGCGCTTTTTCACAAAATCAGATATATGTTATGGCATGATATATGATATATAAACATAATAAAGTAAATTAAAATGTAAAATTTCAACAGGTAGGCTAGAAAAGTAAATAGTAATACGTGATCTGATTTCAGTAATGCTCCGGCTGTTGCAAACATAGGCTGGACAAAATACCATACCACCACCATACCAAGTTTATTTGTATAGCACATTTAAACACGGCACGAGAGCTGACCAAAGTGCTGAAAAACAAAGACATAATAAAAACAATCAAAAATAAAAACTAAATCCATTAAAATCGAGTAATTCAAATAGAAAAGAAAAGTAAAAAGAGAATAAGTTAGACTGAAATAAAAGCCAAAGAATAAAAGTGAGTTTTTAAACAAGACTTAAAAAGGGTTCCAATGAATAGTTGCTCACCCTGCAAAGGCTCCAGTTGGGTTTGGAGAGTGAGGAACCCACCCAGTATGGCGATTTCTTGTTTTTTCTTCTTCAGCCCAAATGAAGCGCAAACGACTGTGAATGTGATGCCCATTAACAAATTCTTTCACAATACCAAACATGGGAATTGTTTAAAAAGAGTTTACACTTATTTTAACCATTTTGATGAATAACAGCTGAGATTTGAAACGTGGTGTTTAAGTCGTATACAACCATTGTAGCTGGTGTTTAATGAATAAGTTTGATGAATAATTTTTTTGAGTGCCTGAGGCGAGAAAAATGCAAAAATTAAAAAATAAAAACAGATGAAATAATGGGTTCTTCTTTCTGATTTAAAGACTAAAATCTTATTTTTTGTTCTAATTTATAAGAGAGTATTAAATCTATTGTGTGTGAAATTTTATTATATTTACGGTGTTTCCTATTATGTATGAAGAAGAACATTTACACACATGCATGAACCTAACTTTGTTCCACTTTTATATTCAAGTGAAACTAAAGCCATACCAGACAGAAAAACACAGTCAAGTGTGTCGTCGTGCTGCAATCACACAAACTTCCCGACTGAGTCTCAGCTGAAACCAGATCAGAGCGCTCGGCCTTGTTGTGTCAACAGCAGACAAGATTAAAAAAATATAATGAATGACAGACGGACTGCAGACGTGCACACGTAAGATCCATAACTGCTTAACAGTAAAAAATGCTTTGGTTACATTAACTGTCAGCATTTTGGGGAAAGACAAGGAAGAACATTCATCATCATGGTTTGATTCATATGATCAGCAGATGTTTTTGGCTCAGAGCTCCCGCTGCTGTCAGTGACCCTCTGTTTGTTCTGGATCAACCCTGGAAACACACACATATCAATAGAAAGCACTTCCTTATAAACAGGAACTTCCACACACACTTACTGCCACAGAGCAAATCTGAAAACTGGGGTTGTGTTCCTCAGCACTGAGGTGGAGATCTTGGTTCTATAGCACCAACTGAGTTACAAGGAGAATGTGGCAATCTCGCAGCTCTGAAACAGCCTTCACTTAACTAGAATCCTGTTTAGTAAAATTGGAGGAAAAATGTAAATATTTGACTTGGTTTTCTGATGATGGAGGTCGATAATCATCAGCATCCACCCAAAATCAGCCTGGAATTTTCTCTAATGGAGCCTCCGTGTTTATCTGACAACTTTCGTTATTCATCCAATTTATTTTTCCTTTGCAGCTGTAATTGTAGTTGGAACGGGGAGTAAAGTTTGGGAGGTGCCCACAGGTCCTTTCACATCCTCCTCCAATTGGAGCGAGAGCCTGCGTTGGGAGGGCTGTCAGTACCATCACCTGGAGGACAAAGTGAGAACCACAGCTGACATCCCCCCCAGACTGGATGGCACATGGGTGTCAACGAGGTAGAGGCCACAGATGGCACCATCCTGTTGGGAAAACTGTGTTCTCTTTCTGATAATTTAAGATTTAATTGAACCCAAATAAGCTCTGAGATTCCTAATAAATCTCCCCTCTGGTCTTCAGATGCGAGGTTCGGCCCGGTCCAGAGTTCCTCACCCGCTCTTACACCTTCCACCCTAACCGTCACTTCCAGGCTCTGCAGCACTTCTATGCCGACAGCAGCTGTGAACATCCGGCCTACTCCCTGAAGATCAAGGGCAAGATCCGTTTAACCAAGGCCTCTTGGATCACCCGAGGGGGCGCGGAGGCTGAACACCACCTCAGTAAAGTGGGGATTGTGGTCCACAGTGCAGCAGCCAAGCAGAAGCTGGCCTCCAGGCTGCCGTCAGTCTGCGTGGGTCTGAGTCTGAGCCGTGCCGTGCCGGGGAAGCCATACGAGCTCTTCAACACCCGCTCAGGGAGGGCGTGCCTCGAGGGCTTGGGCTTCTCCATGATGGAGATGAGTCTGGTACGGGTGGAGACGCAGCACCACAGCCAACGAGGGAAGGTCCAGGAGCTGTTCCTGGGGGACGTCCACACTGACTGGACCCTGAGACCTCAGCACAGACCCACAGGGTACCAGCAGCCTTTGCAGAATGCCATGGTGAGCTCATCTAATGATGGAGGAAATGTTTTAACATCATCATATTATCACAAGTGTTCAACAAAATGCATACAGAGTGAAAAGCCTTTTTAAATACTTTCTCGGGTTAGTACATTTAAATAATTGCTTGTTTTATTTTCACTCATTTGCATATTAAGAGAGGAAAGAGACCCAGCAATCAAAAGCTGCTTTAATACGATCACTAAAAAGGTCAGGACGGGTGCATTTCCATTAGACATCTCACAGATGTCCTTTTGATTTCGCAGCACCACATCCATCCCTGCTCTGTGTGCACTCTGGTGTACCGCTCCTCGGACCAGCGCCCCCCTGTGTTGCCCCGTGGTCCCGCAGTTCCTCTGTCTCTGGCCGGTCGCTGGGTCAGCCAGCACTGTGAAACCCGTCCCAACATCCTCTTCCTCACCCGAGACTTCACCTTTGACCCCAGCCAGCATGCCTGGGAAGGTGTTTACCGGCACTACTCCGACTCGGCCTGCTTACAGCCCACATTCACCCTGACAGCTTTGGGCCACTATGCTCAGGGTAACCCCTCCTCCAAACTCCCAGGAGCTTCTGAGTTTGTCTTCAAGGTGACTCAGGTGAGGGTCACGGCTATGGACGAGTCCACTGTCAAGCTGCTGAACGGGACAAGGCGAGGCAAGTGTGGACTGGCAAGAGGATGGGAGGTCGGGGTGGAAAGAGACTTGACCCCTACGGGTGGGTGCACCGTGCTGGGCATCAAGCTTCCTCACAAGGAATACGAGCTCTTCAAGGTGGAGGTCGATGACAGGAAACACCTCCTGTTGTTCACTGGAGAGAGGCCGACCGACGGCTCCAGTCCTGACCGACCACAGCAGAGGGCCACCTCCTTCCAGGCCCCTATGGTGCTTTGCAGCGGGGGTGAAACACAGCCCTTATACTCAACTTTAAACATCAAAAAAGTTCAGTTGGCCAGTGGGGCAGAGAGGGTGGTGCAGGTGGTGTTACTGGTGTTTGTATCTGCACTGTGCAGCTGGCCGGTGCTCACTAACTTAACCTGTTTTTAGCTCAAACCGGTGCTGGATTCTGTTTAGTGGGCTAGGGTTTGGAATGTATTTTCCTCACCCTCAAATGTAAGAAACGGGAGACATTTAAGACAAAATGCCACACTAAATAATGAGGATCTGTCATTTTTACATGAAAACGTAAGCTGTGGACTTTCATCCTGATGTAGCATAACAAGTGCACTTTGTATTAATTCTGTTTTATTTTACAACCCCTAAAAACAAGAAGCCAGGCAATAGGATCATGCAAATGTACGCCACCCTCACTGGTTTAATGCCACTGTAGAGTTACATGTTGTATCTTAACACTCTTTTTTTTTAATCGACAGTCAAATTTATGAAATCAAATGAATATTTATTTTTAACCATTTTTTATTGTACATTTGCATAAAAGGAGGATGTTGTTCGTTGGGCATTCAGTTACTTTTGTCATGTACTGTTTTCTATACAAATGAAAAAATAACTTTCTTAACTTTCTGGCTTTGATTGCTTGTTTTATTTTCTTGAAAAACACCTGAAGGTAAGAGGATATTAAAGTCCTTCAGTCAGACTGAGAGGTGGATCATTTAAATAATTTTCAGAATCATCAGCTCAACATCATTAGCTCGCTTCAAAGAAAAAAGCATTTTGCACGATCGCCTTAGACTTATTTTATCCTGCACATTGCTTTGTTTATTTGCACCCCCCCAAAAAAGTACTATAATATGTGCCAGACCAAAAGTTTACTTTAAACGTGTCTCAGTGCTGCTGTTTTATTTCAAGAAGAAAATAGAAAATTGGAGCTAGATCCTCCTCAGGTCTGATCGGAAGCCCAGAAACCAAAAGTGTTTCTGTGTTTAATAAATACTTGTCATATGGCTTGCACATTACGTCACGGACATTCCTTCTCCAACTACTGAAAACACGCAGAGGAATATCAGACAGCCATCAGCCAAGAAAAGAGTCTGTCTGAGAATAAATGGGGCGAGAGGAGCAGCAGAGGGATACACAGTTTATAACTCCAGATACTGATTGTTATGACTGAAGCAAGCGAGGATCCGCGTGTCGTCTCCAGTTTACCTACAGCTATTAAACAGCTTAAGGCTAAAACGATGTTTGGTTTATATGCAGGCATGACAATAAACATGGGAGACGAAAATAACTTCTGTTGAGTGTTAAATGTTCCATTTGGTTGTTTCTGAATGAGAATCATACTCAACAAAATGGGATCAAACTAGATCAAACCATTGTAAATCATATTTTTGACTGAAAATTTTGTTCTAAATAACAACAAATAGTTCTTTAAATAAACACAAGGCATAGAAGCCTGATCACGTCTATTGTTATGGGATGGGTAGGGGCTAATATAAATCTTAACCCCTCTTTTTACTTAATTTTCACCTTTTAAACTTACTCCTATTCCATTTATTTACTTTTTAAACATTAAAAAGTTTAGTTTTAAAAATGTATTATTTTAACTTTTTAAACGATCTTTATAATTCTAAACCCTTTTCTTTTTACATATTATGACTTACTTTTTCTCTATATAGTCATTTTCTTCTGTTCAGTTTAGAAGAGTACACAAGTGATCATGTGCTCTCTAAAACGTTAAAAGCACAAAATAAATGTTAAAATCAGCTAAAGCTGTTTAATTTCTAGTCGAATTAAACGTTTTTGCAGCCATGGAGTAATGAATCACACACATTTTTTTATGAAAAAGGAGACATAAAATGACTTTTTTTCAAGTTAAAATAATTCTAGAGTCATTATAAAACCTGTCTATGAGGTTCTTTGTACCAAATTCTTCACACATAAAGCAATCTCAGCAGTTTTACTCATGACAGTTTCAGTACATTCCAGAATGAGCCCTTTCTGGGCTTTATCACTTTAAGAAAACTAGCTAAATCTAGCCACGCCCACCCACCTCTGATTGGCTGCCACAAGCTCAGAAGCTCTGATATCTTGAAGGGTCTGAGAGTAATGGGCTCGACACACGGGAGGCGACAAACGACCGTGATCAGCGAAATTTGTCGCCGTCGGTTTTATTACCTGACACACGGGAGGCGATCCGCGGCAGCGGCCAGTGGCAAAGCCGTCTACGCGTTCTGTTCCATGGCGAAATCGAAACTTCCGTTGTTTTGTTTGGCTGTGTCAGGTTGGAGGGATTTAAGGTCATTTAAGCGGTTCAGAGTTAAAAAAGCAGTAGATATGATGTTTCACAAGGTGCTGCTAGAGTTATGTGAAATCTTACTTCTGATTTTACTACATGAAACATAATAATACTCAAATTCTCCTTCATGTTTGCTCGGAGATGTACGGAGCATCCTGTCCGCTCATTGGTCAGTGAATGAAACCTCCGTTGATTGGTCCTCGTCCGATTGACGGCGATGAAAAGTTGAAAATGTTTCAACTTTCTGGGATCGCGTCACTGGGTCGCCTGTGCACGACACGTGCATGAGCGCAAAATTTCACACGCACGTTTTTCGCATTTCGCTTGGTAGGAGGAAGACCCACAATTATCGCATTTTTCTCTTTATTTGTTTCATTCAAAGTGTTAAAAAATAATATATATGTATATATAAATTTATATATAAATAAATATATATATATATATATATATATATATACAAATGTATATATACATATATATTATTTTTTAACACTTTGAATGAAACAAATAAAGAGAAAAATAATCATTATCTTTTTATTCACTGAAACCAGGAGAACAACTGATCAAGACTCTTTAGTTTAGTGTAGTTTTAGTGTAGTAGGACTTTTGTCACACATTGCATGTAAAAGCCAGTGATGGAGTGACAATCGTTACGATTTTAGGGTGGAGAGACTTCTAAAAAATACCAAAGAAAGATGTAATTTTAAATGGAAATGGTTAAATATGGGGGAAAAGGGTGTTGTGGCACATTAGGAGAAGTGGAGAATTTTAGCTGACACTAGTTCTGACTGAGAAATAAAAACCTAATATAAAATGTCTGGTAAATTTGAGCTCTTTCTATTCCTAAAATGTTTGTTTTAATGTTCAAGACTTTCATTAATTTTTACTTTGAAGGACTAGATAGGCTACAAAAGGTTCTGCGTTGGAGCTGACGGTTAGAAGTCAACACTGCTTCAAGAATGTCTCAAAACGGGAACTTTGTGGGTCAAAGTCAAAACCCTTGATGTGACAAGATCCACAAACCCAAAGGTCAGCTAAAAGATCTTCATACTCAGTGGAAATTCTGCAGGTTTTTTCTTCTTTTTGTATAATTTTAAAACCTTAAATATTGGAAAGCAGAAAGAAAGAAAGTTTTCCCTGGAGGTCACATACTGTTCCTATTAACTCCTGTGAAAATGGTGATGGCAGCTGCCGGCCCCATGAGGTCATCCTTCAGGCTCGGATGGAGAGTAGAACTCCGTACCCCAACATCGACCCCAAACCAGCCCAGAGAGGAGCGGAAACTAATTGGAAGAAAAACAGAGAGTGGGCGAGCACCATTTATCTGCGCAACAATGTGCAGGCTTTGTAATTAAACCAGCCGTGAAGCTGGATAAATCCTTTCTTCCTTTCAGTGTAAAACGCATGGATCTGTCTGGCTGCGAGCTCCATTAAGAGTCTGTTTGTGGTTTCGGCTCTAAAAGGCAGAGAGGAGCAGAACGCCGGCCTGTTAGTAATCAGACCCTGTGGTTTATTACATGCATTTAATAAAATATTGAACACAGATGAAACTCAGTCAGTTTTAGTAGAAATTGCTGTAACATGTGTTTGGACCGGAGTGGGTTTGTTACTGCTGATTATAACCAGTTGTCTTATATCATAAAAGGCTAAAAAAGACAAGGATTATGCAAACCTTCAAAGGGGCTCTTATGATTACTCGTCTTTTTGTATGATTTGTTGAAATGTATTCATTACTAGCATCAAATTTGGCTTTTTCATTATTAAGACTTGCTGTAGTCACATTTCTAGAAAAGAGCAAAATAGTCCATTGTTTTCAAAAACACTGACAAACCAGACAGATTTTTTGAACATAAGTTCACGGCCGGCCCAAGTCTTTGTGGGGCCCTGAGCAGAGTCTCTGGGTTGCAGATGTTGAAGAAACAAATTAGCAGAATATCGCACTGATTTTAAGGTGGAATTGGCTCTAATGACAGTTTTATGTATGTTAAAGCTGCAAAAAACTTCTTGCAACATTCTTTTGACATTTGTGACCAAGATTCTTGTCAATTACATCCTAGTTTTAAAAGTTTATAACCCCTATGAAAGCTGTTTTCTCATTTCTGGCACTTTTTCACTCACAAAAGCAAATTTTTGATAATAAATCATGGTTATTTTTCAATGATGCTGTGATTATGACTTGCAATTTTTTTCAAAATTGTTTACATTCCCAGCATTTTTTGGCATTTTGTGTTTTCTGCACTCTGGGCTTCACTGATCCGTTTCAAACATTAAAAAAATTGCACAGTTTCAGAGCAAATAAATAGCAGCTTGCTGGCCTGAATGGTTGAAAATTATTTTATATTATCTTCTGGCTTTGCCGGGAGCCTTCCACTATTTTCCATTTTCCACTACGCAGTCGTCAAACGATAGCAAGAAGATTAATACCACTTTCGGTTCTGTCTGCAGAGGGCACAGCTGCAGCCAGCAGCCAGTTACCGTAGCTCAGTTTAACATAAATGCTGGAAACTGGGGAATCGTCCAACCCCGTTTGGTCCAAAGGTAACAACATCTGCTCATCAGCAGAGCGTAAGCTCACTATCATACTGCTCCATCAGCTAAATGTCAGGTGAGCTGCTTTCTTCAGGTTGTGTGGATTAATCCAACTTGTTCTTTTTTGAAACTGTGAGAGAAACTCTTTTTAATAAACGTAAAATCTTTATTTTGATTTGAAATCCACTTTTGTTAAATAACAAAACTGAACAACCTCAAAGATTTTCTTTTTAGCTAAAGCAAGTCTCCAAACCACAAATAGCGAAATGTTTCAGTTTGACAAATGTTCTTATAAAAAAAGACTCGCTGCTGCTTTTGGACGGAGATTTGTTATAAAATAAAACAGCAGAAGTATCTTTGTTGGTCTCGTCTCCTGCATTCCTATTTAACCTCTGCATGTGCTGTTAACACACTCAGACATGACTGCGATGGCTTCACTGTGGTAGTATGAGGAACATCTCCCGCTCATCCACATTTCAGGCTCAGTTAAGAAAATCCCATCATTTCTATAAGAATACGAGCTGCAGCTGCATCATATAATATATATATTTATATGTATTAACCACAACTCGGTTGGCTTGATTCAAATGATCATGTTTCTACTGAGAAATGTGTCTTTGCACAACAAAGTTGTGTGTTATTACCCACAGAGCTGTAGAGCGACTGCTCTTTGATGTGGAGCCAAACAGAAAACGCGCTCCTTTCTGTCATGACCTCATGCTCATATACTAAACCGACCTACTGCAGACCCAGCATCACATTCCAGGCCCTAGTTTTCATTTCTGCTTTTAGAA